GGGAGCCCGATGCGGGACTCGATCCTGGGACTCCAGGATCATGACCTGAGCCGAAGGCAGTCGCTTAACCAACTGAGCCACCCAGGCGCCCCCCCCCCTTTTTTTTTTTTTAAAGATTGATTGATTTGAGAGAGAGTCCGGGGTGGGGTGGGGGAGGGGCAGAGGGAGAGAGTCTTAAGCACACTCTGTGCTGAGCCTGACGTGGGGCTCGATATCACAACCCCGAGGTCACGACTTGAGCTGAAACCAAGAGTCAGATGCTTAACTTACTGTGCCACCCAGGTCCCCCTCCATCCCTTTACTTTAATCCTTAATGTGTCTTTACATTTAAAGTTTCCTGTAGACAGCATATAGTTGGGTCTTATTTTCTGATTCACTCTGACGATCTTTTATTTGGTGTATTTAGATCATTGACATTTAAGGTGACTATTGATATAAGTGGATTAATTTCTACTGTATTTGTTACGGTTTTCTATTTGTTGCCCTTGTTCTTTGTTCCTATTTTTGTCTTCCATGCTTTTTCTGCCATTGTGGGTTTTTTTTTTCCTTTTTTAAGAGAGAGAGCATGCACATGAGCAGGGGTGGGGAGGGGCAGAGGGGGAGAGAGAGAATCTTAAGCAGGCGCCATGCCCAGCCCAAAGCAGGGCTCAGTCACAATCCTGAGATCATCACCTGAGCCAAAATCAAGAGTCAGGCACTTAACCAACTGAGCCACCCACATGCCTCTCTGCCATTGTAGTTTTAACTGAGCATTTTATATGATTCCATTTTCTCTTTCTCCTTAGTATATCAATTATTCTTTTCTTTTTTTAAGTGGTTGTCCTAGAGCTTACAATACATATTTACAACTAATCTTAGTCCACTTTCAGATAACACTTCATGGGTACTGAGAGTACATCATAATAACAAAATATTACTAATTCTTCCCTCCCATCCCTTGTATCATTATTGGTGTTCATTTCACTTATGTATAAACATAGACATATGTATATATATATATATACACACACATAAACATACATGAATGAGTATATCATTGCTATTATTTTGAATAAACTATTAGATCATTTAAGAAAAAGAAGCATAAAGGTTTTAATTTTACCTTCACTTACTCATTTTCTGATGCTCTTTGTTTCTGTAGATCCGAATTTCTGACCAATATGATTTTCCTTCTCTCTTAAGATCTTTTTCAACATTTCTTGCAAGATAGATTTAATGGTGACAAATACCATCAATTTTTCTTTGAGAAAGCCTTTATTTCTCCTTCACTTTGGAGAATTGTAGGGTTCAGGATTTTAGGTTGGTGGGTTTTTTTCTCTCAACGTTTAAATATTTCACTCCACTTTCTTCCTGCTTGCATGGTTTCTGAGAAGTTAGGTGTAATTCTTATCTTTTCTCCTCTGTAGGTAAGATGTTTTTCTCCACTGACTTTTTTCACAACTTTTTTATCTTCGCTATTTCAGATTTCTGAAGTATGGATATGATATGCCTGTGTATAGTTTTTGGCATTTATTCTGCTTGGTGTCCTCTGAGCTTCCTGGATCTGTGACTTGGTGTCAGACATTAATTTGGGGAAACTCTCAGGCATGATTGCTTCAAATCTTGCTTCTGTTTTGCTCCTGCTCCCGGTTGTCCCATTGCATGTGTGTTGGGTCTTTGGCACTTGGCCCACAGTTCTTGGATATTCTGTTCTTTTCCCCCAGTCTTTGTTCTCCTTGCCTTTCACCTTTGGTAGTTTCTGTTGCCAGATCCACAAGCTCAGCAGTTCTTTCCTCAGCCATGTCCAGTCTACTGATGAACCCACCAGAGCATCATCCTTCATTTCTGCCAGTGTTTCTGATCTCTAGCATTTCTTTTTGATTCTTAGAATTTACATTATCATCTATTTTTTTTTTTAAATAGAGTGAGGGAGAGGGAGAGAGAGAATCTTAAGCTCCATGGCCAGCGAGGAGCCCAAGGCAGGACTTGATCTCACAACCGTGAGATCATGACCTGAGCCAAAATCAAGAGTTGGATGCTTAATCAACTGAGCCACCCAGGCGCCCCCATTATCATCTCTTGCGTGCTCTGCTTTTTCCATTAAACTCTGTATTAATTATAGTTTTTAAAAAATTTCCTGGTCAGGAGGTGCCTGGGTGGCTCAGTTGTTAAGCGTCTACCTTCCGCTCAGGTCATGATCCCAGGGTCCTGGGATCGAGCCCCGCGTCGGGCTTCCTGCTCAGCAGGAAGCCTGCTTCTCCCTCTCCCACTTCCCCCTGCTTGTGTTCCCTCTCTTGCTGTCTCTCTTTCTGTCAAATAAATAAAATCTTAAAAAAAAAAAAAAAATACACACACAAAATTTCCTGTTCTGGTAATTCCAACATTCCTGCCATATCTGCCTCTGATTCTGATGCTTATTCAGTCTCTTCAGACTGTTTTTGGCCTTTGAGTATGCCTTATAATTTTTGTTGTAAGGTGGACATGATGTAGGTGAAAGGAACAGCCAGCAGTAAGTAGGCTTTTAGTAATATGATGGTAAGTTGTGGAGGAGGGGGATTGTTCTGTAATCCTGTGGTAGTCTCTCAGTCTTTTGGTGAGGTTTGGCCCCTAGACTGTGAACCGTACATGTTTCTCAGTTCCCTCCACCTCCTTAGGTGGGACAGGATGGCCAGAATGGGCTCAGTTGGTTATTTCTTTTCCCTCAAATAGTTTAACTCTGCTAATATAGGAGTTTCTCCAAGATCAAGCCTTGTTAAGATGAGAATGTTCTGATATATTTCAAAATGGTTTCTTTCCTCCTCCTTGTGCTAGAAGCATGAAGGGATTTTCTCCAGTACTTGCTGTGAGGGCCTAGAACGGCTCCTTAGAGGTAGAACTCAACAAAGTGGAGGGGTCCCCCTTACGACTGCGTCCCCCTAGAGTTATTGTCACTCAGAGCTATCCACATGAGCCTCAAGCAGCTCATCAGTCCCAGTTCAGGGTTTCCTCTCCTGGCACTGAGCTTTGTGCTCCTGTCACTTCTGGTTATGGGAAGGGTTGTTGATTTTTCAGCTTGCTTTTTACTCATTAGGATGAAGTGGTGACTTCTAAGTTTATGTCAAACTGGAAACCCGAAGTCACAAGTTAATTTTTCATGTTCTGCCACTTGAGGTTTTAGGTTCCAGACTTTACTTGTTGCTTGTTTTGGGAAATTTTGCTGTTTAGGATTGGCTTTCCAGAATGTTTTTGCTTTCTTAATACACTTTTTTTGCTGTATATAGGTGGCACAGGAGTGGATCAGCTCTCCAAACAAAGAGAAATTCTATCAGTTGCATTTACGAAAATTTCCTGCTGATTATAAAAAATACTGGGAGTTTGTGGGTAAGTTCTTTCTTCTGTAATTTGGAATATATAATAATTGGAAATTTCTGTTTGAGGAAAGCTTATCATCATTTGACTTTTCTGGGACATAGGTTTCCTAAGCTGAATTTGTAACCTCTTACAAGGAATGTTTAAAGTCTTTTTTTTTTTAAAGATTTTATTTATTTGAGAAAGAGAGATACAGCGAGAGAGGGAACACAAGCAGCGGGAGTGGGAGAGGGAGAAGCAGGCTTCCCGCGGAGCAGGGAGCCCGATGCGGGGCTCGATCCCAGGACCCTGGGATCATGACCCGAGCCGAAGGCAGACGCTTAACGACTGAGCCACCCAGGTGCCCCAAGGAATGTTTAAAGTCTTTTAATGAGAACAGTTACTGGGACAGTTATGAATATAAAATTCATGGTTGTAACCATTCTATAATTAGAATACCACAGGCCAAAGTGGAAGCTGGGCATGGAAGAGAGGGTGAGTGAAGGGAGCTTGACAAGATTGGTTGGGGGAGGGTGTCCCAAAATCATAGTGTTTATAGATTCTGAGTAAATGTTCCTGCTGTCTGTCTTCTCATTTCATCATTGGTCTGAAACACATACCACACTTATGCATTAGTTATAAATCAACCAAACATTCAGAACTCTTTAATAAAAATAAAAAGTATAAATCCTCTTTTGCCTACCCCCCCCACCCTCTGTCCATCCTACTCCATAGATTCAATTAAGATAAAAAGCATGTGTATGTATATTTTTGGGGAAAGGTACTATATGTTCATTGTAGGACACCGAAATAATAATAGCCAACAGAAAAGAAATACCACCAATTCCGATCATTCCAAGATAGTCCTATGAAAATACTAGTATATATCTTACTGCGAGACTGCTCACCTGTGTGAGTTGGGTACATGTGAATGTAGTAGGGTCCTTCAACTATGTAGTGACATTTTTCATTCATTCAGCAAACACTTGACTTTATAGTGCCTGATAGGGTCTGATTCTAGATGCCGGGTATATAGCTATGAAGAAACATAAGATTCCTGCCTTCATGAAATTTATATTTTACTTAATTTTATTTAATATACTGTAAATGTTTTTTCAGAGTTACTAAATAACAGTATATTTCTTTTTTCTTTTTTCTTTTTTTAAAGATTTTATTTATTTGAGAGAGAAAGAATGAGACAGAGCATGAGAGCGGGGAGGGTCAGGGAGAAGCAGACTTCTCGCCGAGCGGGGAGCCTGATGCGGGACTCGATCCCAGGTCTCCAGGATCATGACCCGAGCCAAAGGCAATCGCTTAACCACCTGAGCCACCCAGGCGCCCAATAACAGTATATTTAATATTTATAGTTATTCCATTGTAAATATATTCCACAGATCTACTTAACCAGTTGTGTCTAGTTAGACATGTACATCGTTTATAGTTTTTCACTGTTGCAAACACTCAGTGTAAACTTTGCTAGGTCAAACAGCATGTGTATTTTAAGACTTGTTCCATATTGCCTCTGCCTACCAAAAGGAATATCAGTTTCACTTCTAACATGAAGATATAAGAATGTACATCTCCCTCATTTGCTAGCTTCAATTTTGTTTTCCAGTTTTATGTATGTAAAGTGTATCTCATCTGAGGTTGTAGCTTTGTTCCCAAATCTTTTCTGATAATGAGTATTCTTTTTTTTTTTAAAGATTTTATTTATTTATTTGAGAGAGAGAATGAGATAGAGCATGAGAGGCGGGAGGGTCAGAGGGAGAAGCAGACTCCCTGCTGAGCAGGGAGCCCAATGCGGGACTTGATCCAGGGACTCCAGGATCATGACCTGAGCCGAAGG